ACCTCTACATTCTGAAAGCTTTAACAACCTCGCTGAAAAAGCACTTGTATGCCATACTACACTTGCAGGCCTTCCAAAAAAAATAAAGGGTCAGCGGGTTCACCCCCAATGGTTAATGCGGACCTCTGTTATGCGCGACAGTGCAATCGTTCAGCTTTAAATTCCAAAACCCCAAACTTCGACACAAAGACTTACAAGTGGAGTTCTATGACTGATTCTTGAAGAGAATGCAGCTGCAATCCAAAGTTTCAACGGGACATTAAGCGCGAAACATGGCTTTAGTTTTCGAGTTTAGTTCGCAACAACGAGTCAAAGAAGAGTATCGATAGATGCCGACCGCTGAATTTTGGAGTTACTTGCCGGAGTTATCATAAAGTTCACCAGTTTGGGGAGCGAGGAATATCTGAAATTTCACATAAACCCAAGATGCACCGAAGGTAAAGTGTATTTATGACGAAATCTACTCCAGTGGTTCGATTTTGGTGTAGGTGAAAAAATTGGGAATGCTCGTACATGTGCTGGTTCAAACGGTCATAGCTTTTGAAAAATCGAAAACGTACAGGCGTTTTTGCATATTTTTGTCTATAAAGGTCTAAACTTAACGGCTGTGTAGGGTAGAATTGTCAAACAGGTCCCAAATCCCAAAACTTAACGTCTAAATCAAGGTTATTTACGGCCATCGGCCGATGGCGATTTCTAGTGGTCAGAATATGCTAAAATTCGCCTTTTCAAATATATTGAGAGGGAAAATTCTAACTTTCTTGGCAAACTAGAAAGGTTTTTAAGCAATCTGATATAAATTCTGTGGCTTAACTATGCCAATCAAATATTTTACAATGTTACAAAATATGCCTATTTTTCAATTTTCGAGACGTTGCGACGATCCTACGGACTGGCAAATAATTATGGCCCCTAATGCGGTCAGAAAATTATTTCGAATCAAACCAAATCTAATTTAGTTCTTTCCTAGGTAAAGTCTTTCTGTTGACAGAGTTTCAGGTAAAATTATTTTTGATGCAAAATTGACCCGGTGGAAATAAGAGAGACAGCCTCTTAACAGAGTCTTTATCTGGTTCTCTCTGTCCTCCACCTAAAAAACACTCTGATGGCAAAGTCAACAAAAGAAGTCCTAAACGAAAATATCCACATTAGGGAAAATACACTGAGCATTCGTCAAGATCAGGGGTTCAGCCCGATTAAGTATCTGTGGTGTGTAATTGAAATTAACTTTTAATTAGTTGAAAGATCTTTCCCTCAAAGATATGTCACTCTGCAAATGCAGACTCTTCATTTTGACCACTAGACTGGAATGACATAAGTTATGACAGTTTGAGACAGATGATAACTTTCATAGTGCCCATGCACAGCAGAAAATTATGATGTGTCACAGTTCAAAGTCCAACTCAAGTCCAGATCCTTTCAATTTTGCCATTACTTCCTTCTCAAATCTCTCGTTCAACTCTGGGGTGAAGTGTTCCTTCCAGTTACCAACCACACCCTTCTGGAGAAGCTTTGGACCATCTTCCTTGCCTCGTAACAAGTAACTTTGAACATTCTTCATCATTCCTTTAAAAGTGCACTGCTCAGCAATGAGATTGGCGAGATCATCTGGCAAAGGCTTGTTAAGGAAATCAGCAATTATACGAACATTGGACAGGAGATCCTGGGAAATATAATCACTCCTTCATTATCAATCCATCTTTTAGAATAGATACTTAGAATCTCATGATCAACTACAATTATAGCACAGACTCTCCCTTTTTCTCATATTAGGCTGGCCAAACTAGCTGCAAAAAGGAGGGTAAATGGAGATGGGAATGTTCAACTTATCCTTGTTTTCAGGTTCAGGGAAACAGCTAGCTGAGGTGTGGTTAGAATAAGGAACATAAATTGTATTACTTATAACAACTTAGCATGCCATGCAAATGTGCAATAGAATTGAAATAGAGTAAAATTGACTAAAAGTGTAACATAACCATCACAACAAACCCCTAAATTACTCCTCTTTAAGAGGTGACCAAAATAGAGGGTTCAAAATGGCACGACACTAGTAGTTAAGAGAAAATGAAGCTAAACCTAGGTACATAAAGTAAAAGTCATTGAGCAGTATGAGCAGTTAGAAAAAAACATCTTATTTAATATTAAGTCTTATCACTGTGGTGTACAATTTTGCTTCTCTGAATCAAATGTTGTATTGTTAAGCATCTTCATTCTCATTGTTACAAGTATCTTTGAATTCATTAGATAGATGACCCTTTATGTTAGATAGCTGTCAACTATTTCAAAGTGTTATTTTCCATATAAAAAATACAAAATAAAAGGTACAAAAAATGAATGAAAAAATATAGGGGGAACATCTTTTACAGGTGTCTCTCCATAAACAGAGAGTTAACTGTATGATGCAAGCTAAACTTTTGCATTAAAGGCAATTTAATTTGCTTGATTGCATTATCTGACTTCAATTTTTGCTTTCCATGAGTAATTGTGGGCATCTATCAAACTCTTCTCATACATTTAATAATATGTTCAAAAAGTTGAAATGTTCATAAAAAGTCCACTTTTGTTTATTCATTAAGGTTTGAAAATGTTTTTCTTACAGCTGTTAATCTAATTTTGGTTGTCATTTTCATTGCTGTTACTATTGTTACTTGTATATTTTGCACTTACCAAATCCAATGTAAAGCTGGACTCACAGTGCTCCAACAAACAACCAGTCATCCACTGCAAAACTGAGGGTAAACATAATTTGAATGCACATACCTTTTGAAGGTCTTCATATTTAAGGAAAAGAACATTAGGATCATGTCTGTGCTCCCACCATCCAAGAACATGATTACTCCACTGGCTCCACATGGCTACGTAATGAATTAAAATATAAAAGAGATAAATGACACTGAAGTTAATTCCTCAGAGAATTATCCCTAGTCTAACCAAATTTAAGGCAGTAAAACCTCCATTCTGGGACCCAGGCAAGTGTCCTCTGAATAGATGTGTCTCCTGAATAAAAGTTAGGCTGGGGTTGCCTAATAATCATTTAACCAGCCCAAAAAATAGCATCATTTTTTCATTATTCTGGCTTGAAATCTTCTGAAATCTTTATTTCAAGAAGCTAGATAATGTTTTGAAAAACATCTGCAATTAAGGAGAAAGAGGGTCTGGGACATTATGTTGGCATATGGATCAGTACATTGGCAAATTCCTAAAGCCAAGCACCAATAAAGGGACAACTGTCATTACTGGAAAGCTGGTGGTAGGTTGGAAATTCATGCAAATACATCTTCTTCTGTGGCACAAATACCTCGGTAAAATGTATCAAGTAATAAATTGAAGGAACTGGTTTCTGCAATGTTGCTGATGCCAAGCAGTCTTATATCTTTTCTTCTCTGGCCTTCAGCTACCTACGTTTGAATTCTATAATTTTTGTAAACATTAGGATGTATTAAACAGTAATCACCTAATCAGTGCAAACAAAACTCTGAAAGGTGATGTGCTTACTTTTGCCCTCAATAAACAGCTTCACATAATATTCCCATGGTGCATTCAATCCTGTAGAGGATCCAAGGCTTTTCATAAATTTATAACTTGAGACTGCTGCATCTTTAGGATTACGAGCAATGTAAATATATTTACAGCTTGTGTCCTTGTTTTTAGCTTTAGGGATGGCTTCATAAGAGAGGTGGGTCTTTAGAAGACGAGGGCTTGGTAAAGTTTTAATGTCAGGCTGAGTTGACTTTGGGTTGGTTGCCTCTTCCACAAATGGGACACGATCTTCAATTTTACCACTGTTGATTTCTCCATTGTGATAAATCTGCCAGACAATTTCTTGAACCCAGGTAGTCCCTTGGACAAATACAGAATTTAACTAATTCAATACCTCACATTGCCTCTTACAGCATGGCCAGAGAAACCTCACAGTATTCAGTATTAAAGTCAATGAAAGAAAAAAAATGATAACAAAATGAATAAAAACGAAGACAGGCATATTTTGGCTTTATCATTTTGAATGACCTAAGCACAGATTTAGACAATCTATGAATCCAAATGTCAACATGGTGGGAAGATGACACTTATTTATACGCCCAGATGGAGAAGGGAAATGTAAAGGTGCAGTAACTTGCCCAAGAAAACTACACAATGAAACTCAGGTCAAGGTTTTTCAAATGGACCATTGATCTTGGGATTCAGACAACTGGCCATCAAGCCATCATGTCTGGCTGCTTCACCCTGATATGGGTATGATAGAACCTGTCTATCTTAATTTGTTCATATTTTATTTGGTATGACAAATAGGATAATAATTTATCATAATGTTCCTTCAGGTGAAGGGGAATTGGAATACTGGTTACCAATGTAACTTCTAACTACCTCCAGTTCCAAAACTTCATGAAATCTTATTTATGACAAATCTTATTTACTGCGAATAATCTCACTTACTAGTAATAATCAAAGATTACTAAGGTGCATTCAATCTCTAGTAAAAGTTTTTTTTTATTGTACTGATGGCACAAAAGAAAAGTTGGTGTCTTCAGCTCAAGGCAGCCAAGAAAACATTAGTACATGAGATTGAGGCTGTTTGTGCCACATAGCCAGCCAGCCAGTCCGCCCGCATAAATTTTTTTTCGGATTCACTTTCTGAAGCTTAGATACCAGGCTCAATTAGGTAACCAAGCCTTCTTATGGTTTGTTTACAATTCTATACTCCCCTCCCCCAACTGGTTGAAGTGCGATGGGGGGGGGAGACAAGGAAGGGAACATTTTTGTCACTTGCACAAGAAAAACAAACGGGAAGTCATCTATTAACCCAATTTTTTTTGTAGTTTTCGCGGGAAAGAATATTACCTTATCTCGCTGCGCTCCGTTCAAAGTTGTCTCAGATGTTGAGGCAGTCCAGGGAACAATTTAAACATTAGCCCAGTTTTGTGCAATCAGATTAATTGTTGCTCAGAGTGCATTATTTCATGACAACGTACTTCAACAAGTTAGGTATACATATAGTATATTCCACGAAAGCAAATGATTTTTGGTGTTATCGCTAATTGAGATATCAGATCAAGGAAGTATAAGGTTATTAATAATGAGTTAAATTTTAGCTGAAAGCTTTTCGAGTTATTGATTTGACAATTTATTGTACGTTGTAAAATTACAAAGCAAAAAATTAAATTTAGGTTGTAAAACACTAAAATACTTACTTACTTACCTTTCGGTCTCAAAACGTTTTTCTCTTTGCTGCTTTAAAAATTTGAGCTTGTGTTTACTACACGCCGAAGTTCCTTGTATTCTCCAGTGTAACAAAAAAGGTCACGCAAGCAAGAAAAGGCTTGGGCACAAATTCAGTAGGCTTGGCTGCTGCGTTGAGCCACGATTAGTATGCGTTCTCCTTTGTCGAACGCAATAAAGTCCCTCATTTACTCATGTGTAGCAAACATTTAGTCAGATTGACCGCCATTTTACGCGAGGGGTCATCTATCTTATGAAAGACACAAACAAACGTTGTCAGTAGACACAACTCACCTGATTTGGGATAGCTTACAACGAACACATCGTCCCGTCTGGTCTGAAAACCAGTAATAAAGTCATGAAGCAACTGAGGATCCGGGACGAAATATGCAGGAATTCTTAATCCCAAGATTTCAACAGTTTTATCTGAAGTCCACTCCCCTTCACTTTCCTGAAGAACTGGAAAAGTCGACATGGTGTCACGACGCACGAAAATGTCACTCCTGCACGAACGATAAAAGAAATTCAAAGAGGCTCAATATTCACTCCTGCGGGCCAATGATTAAAACTTTGAAGAGGCTCACATGGGATCTTTGTCCTCCTGGTAAACGAAATCGGAAGTAGCCCATATCATCGATGATCACATGACTATGGTCACGCCACTGCACTGTCACTAACCGTAGGGAAACTTTTGAAGAACAACAAGCGATAGAAAATTAATTTAAAAAAATCGAAAGGGCTCAAAACATAGTGGGGATGAGGTAAAGGTCTGTAGCAGAAAATTACTTTGTATGCTAAATTTACCCCTGATACCCCGCGCATTCTATCCATGAAAAATCTTATCCAAATTCTTTTGTTCTGCCTCTTACTAAATAAGGCATGGATTCCTGCAGGCGTTTTCATAACGGCTTCCCATGATCGGTTAGGCCTTAGAGGCCTGGGACGAGATAACCAGGAAGTGGGAAAAACACGAATCACTTTCTCTTTCTCGCACTTGGTGTGTTTTTGGGTATTAGATCCTCTTTAAAAGATAATGATTGAAGATTAGCTTCAGATATAATGCAGCTTTGAAGGTAAGGGAACGAAACGATGTTTTTGATAAAGGAACTTGAACCGAGTAGTCAATAGCGCGTGTGTGCTGGGTACACTTCCCGTCTTCTAATGAAGACTGACGAGAGGCTGTTTTTGATGTTCTCTGCCGCACAACTCTTGTAAATTTTTCAATATTCAACTAAATTCACACCAGTTCAAGGATCAAATGTAAACTATTTCGCTTCTACCCATCTGCCTTAGGTGGCAGTCTCGGTATGGGATGGTGTGAAACAATCATGAAGTCTTTCTTAAACGTAGGGATAAATCTTTCTCAAGTCTTTTGTGTAGAAGTTCTTCATCTTTACATCAATTTGTAAGTTGCCTTATTGAACTGTGGATCGCGGCTTTTTGTGCTCAGTTAGAGGCAGCTGAACATGTGCTTATTTCTTTCGTTGGCGGAGGTGCTACAGCATTTGATGGATTACTTTATTGATGGATATCTATGTACGTTAAAAATTTCGTCTGCATTAATTGCAAGAAGAAACATTTAATTCTACTTTGCTAAACTAACTAATATATTATGAAGATAAAACCTGTCATGTCCCAAAGTTATTTTCCGAGGATGCCGTGTCTTATTCGAAGTTGTAATGACGTACGTAGCGCATTGGGCTGAAAGAATTTGTTTGCCTCCGCTAAAAGTCTCGACATTTGTCAGTCCTGGGCGTACTGAAAAACAGAAAAATATTTGTTAACCACAAAGTATCAATTACATGAATGCACAAATTGTACCTGAGGTCTACTTGGACATGGAGATTCTGCTTGAACGCAAAATTGGGAACCATGATTGTTATATTCTTAGCGTCCTGAGTACTGATCATCATTCATGCAGCATCCAGTGGTACAAATCTTTTGTCATCACCATTTGATTACTGCGTAAAAAGTGAATTTCAGTTTTGGCGGCCTTCCTCTTGAAAGAATCAAATTTAAGAAGGGAGATCAAATTTTCTTGATTAATATTTTCCTTTTAATCATAATTTAAAAAATCTGTCAGATTTTACACATGACACAAATTTGTCCTCCTTCAAGGTGGAATGATGGCACTAAAATATGGTAGGAAAAATTCACTCAGCACACCTGTCACAGAATTGATGACAGATATTTTTGCAAAATACACCAAAATTTGAGCAGTGCACCAAGGCCCTAAGGAAACGGCAGAACACAGATCATGAGATTGGCTGTTCCACACCCGAGCACTACTGTATCTGAAGCATCTTTTAAAATAATTGGTGTGGGGCTGTGGAGGAGCAAATCTATTTTTGAAATTCCTGATTGAAATTCCTAAATCAGTAGGAAGTAAGGTCATTTTCAAATAAAAATTGAAATCTTAGATATTTGGGGGTCATTCAGTATATAGTCTTTGCTGCAATCAGTTGTTTGTAGGCTTTTAACCCTTTGACTCCCAAGATCTTTTTAGCATTTCTCATCACTGTCTGCCATATGATTTTTATGATGTTAATTTGGAAAATTTATAATTGGATCAAGTGATAATCCCCTTATTAATCAATGTTTCTTTATTCTCATCTCTTGTCTAATTGATATTGTATTGATATTGTAAGGAGAAATTCTGTCTTCAGTTGGTTACTCATATGGCAGTTTAAGGGTTAAGTCATAACCATATGCAAGCCTTGAAGAGGAATTTTCTCGTACATTCCAGAATGTTCTGTCATTTATCAAGTTAATTTTTGTGCTTACTGAGTGAGTAGTGTGGATAGTCCAAGCATGCTAATTCATAAATATGTCTATATATTAAGTGAAGCTTGTATCAAGCTGTTGTTGTTATTGCTTGGTAAGAGGTAAATAAAGCTGTGTTGCTGACTACAAGCCTGCGGGCTGAGTAATAGTGTAGTATGTACCCAGTAATACATTTTTCTCAAACATATAACTGCAAATTTTGGGAACGAACAGAGTATCTGCTTTGATTTTTCTTCTTGAAAGACCAATGTAACAATGTAACAGCACTTAACTTAATGTCTTGGTTTTTCTTATGCTAGGAAATGTTTGGTGTTCAACTTATCATTTGGCAGGGGCATTTCAGGGCATACCCATTTGCCAGACCAGTAAATTTTCAAGAAATTCATGCCAGCTCTAGGCTTCTCCACTAGATTAACTATGATCATTGTGTTAGTTTCAAAACACTTAGTTAATACACACTTTATTACTGTTTTTGTTCTGGTTCATTTCTATTGATAAGTCTTTTGCCAGTTAATGATTATTATGCAATAAGTTTGTTATCTCGGATCAATTTCCATTTAAGTAAAGATTCTCTCTCAATCATCGCTACAAAATCATCGCTGCTACCCTTGCGAAATGGCTTTTGGAATTCCTAGGAATTCCTAGGAATTCCCAACCATAACAACTCTGGTTCTAAAAACCTAGAAATTCCTAGAAATTCCCAGAAATTCCCAGAAATTCCCAGAAATTCCAAGTTTATAGCCAACAGGACTTGGAATTCCTAGGAATTCCAACTCAGAGAACCAATGACTTTCCCTGAAAAGCTGTAAATCTAAAAAATTCCTAGGAATTTCTGGGAATTTCTGGGAATTTTTGGGAATTTCTGGGAATTTTAGGGAATTTTTAGGAATGTTTATGGAATTACTGGGAATTTTAAGCAAAAATTTGAGGCTAATGATATAAAATAAATACTTTGAATTAAAAAAACCCAGCTAAAGTTCAAGTATTCAATGAAATTTATTTAGAAGCTTAATTTAAGGCTTACATGTAAAATATTTTTGATTAATTATTAAAATCAATGTGTTGTAATATTAGGATGGAATTTGATTTATTTTTCTTTTCTTGAAAACTTCATACGGATTAATCCTCAATTACAGCTATTCATATAAAATAGTTCTAATCAATCATTAAATTTGGTTTGACACAAATTGTGAATAAAATCTGTTGATTCTTTTCCATAAAATACAATATCTTAAGTTATATTTGAAAACCAAGCACTCTTGGGAGTGAAGGGGCTAATTACAGACAAATAAAATTGATTTTTGATTCAAATCTTGTTGTAACTGTAACAATAAATTAGAATGAAGTTATCCTAAACTGCAAACTTAGCTGCTGTTTGTACTGTTTGTATTTTTTTTTTCTGGGCTCACAATGAGTTGGCCTTGAATGAGGTTGTCAACAAGAACCTTGACCATTTTGTATCTGGATTCCTTGCCATCTGAATTTGAAAAAAATAATATATTAAAATATGTATATTTAAAGCTCAGACCAGGCTTTTAAGATGGCTATGAGGAAAAGGGCATTCATTGGATTCTCAAATTGAGAAATCTCTGTTATATTGAGTGACTTTCATATTGGAGTTAGTACATCTCTCTCATGGATTTTACTAAAAAAGGGCTGAATACATTATTTTGTTTTTACCAAGGAGGGCTTCTTTATTTACTAAGGTTTGTTTAATAACAGTTCCTATTTTGAATCTTAAATGTTCCCAAACGTGACTAGAGGAATCTTGAAACCTTACTGATAGGTTTATTTCATTGTAAAGCATAATAAGCTTAAGAAACTGCGGCATGCAAGTGACCGATTCGATTCTCAGAATTATTCTAGTTTCAGTTGCGCCGAGCGTTATGTAAGCTTAATTCAACCCGCTACATCTATTCTTTTATAAGATTTTGATCACGTAACGAATATCGCAATTTTTACTCACCACAAACTTTCAAAATCGTAGCTTTACAAATGGCCATTCGACCCTTGTTTGTACCAGTCAATATGTCAACTGTTGTCCCTTCTTTTAACTCCACGGCGCCAACGACTTTCTTTTCTTTTACAACACTCACGCTATTCTCGTTTTCCCATTGAACCACAATAAAACCTATCCTTAGAAATGCAAAACAGTTGAGAAAAGCGATCAACCGATGAAAAGTACATTCAAAGATGAGCGCCAAATGGAGTCTTCTTTGTTTCCGATCACGGGCATGATCACGTGGATCTTTTAGGACTTGTCATTGGCTAGCAGAGTGAATCCGCTGGCTTGCCGATTGCAGTGTTAGGAGAAGTGCCCGACTTTATTTTGACTTCTCCGACCGGTTCTCTGCTTGTAGAAGATGGATAGCTTGGTGATATAAATAAAGATGTGAGCTCACTCTATGTAGAAATAATCGACAAGAATCGATCGTATTACAAATGCACGATTTGTGGCCGAAAGTTGTCGAGGAAACAAAGACTCGAAACTCACTTGAGTTGTGTTAATGGCAAAGGTGAGAAATAACACAAGCCAATCACAGTTTTGAATGCGACTACAAATCGTCTTTTACCCTCATATTTATAAAAGAAGGATACCACATTCGGAAGTATAAGAGATACATAGATGATCCCAGTGTACCAGTACCTAAATCTACAAAGCTTGACCGTAGCAAGCGTTCAGCAACACGTTCCAACACCGCCATCTCGATTCCTCAGTCAGTCGTTTCCACTGAACTTAAAGCAGTATTGACAACAGAGTAGAGTGCGTCTTACAAAGGAGAAACATTTGTACAAGAGACAGAAGTAGCTATATGCGATTACAGAGGTGCGTTGGAACTCTGGTCCACAAATAGTTATGCACTGCCCGAAGTATAAAACAATTTTGTTGATAGCTGACAGACAGAGAAGAACAACAAGTAAACTTAAGAGCTGTTATTATTGAAGTGTGACTAGCACTTTTCATTTTTATATAAAGAAGGACTTGTAATTTGCACCAAAAATAAAAAGATGTAATGTTTTTTGGGAGATCCAGTGATTGGGACATTTAAGAAATTAAGTTATGAAAGGAAGCTTGGTTGGTACTTCTCACTACTAACAAGTCTTGTTGACAAATATTTTCAGATCAGAGTTTCAAATAAAGTAAATTGAAGACGTCATATAAAAAAGTGTTTTTTTCCTCAAAGGAACATTGACTACCTCTGTCTTGTTTGCATGCCAAATGTTTGCAAAGTGTGTGGATGATCCACAAGTATTGGAACTCTTACAAAATGTTTTGTAAGAATAAAAACAACAAAACAAATTACAGCAATTAGTCATGAAAATAGAGCAAAAACTGAAAAAAAAGCAGCAACAACAATCATGAAAAAAGAAAGATTAATTAAGTGTTGAATTTGTTTGTCTAAGGCATGAAATTTCTACTAAAAGTATTGTCAACAAAAAATCTCTGACAGCGTTTGAGGCAACTGAGCTTGACTGTTCCAAGGTTTTCTAACAAAGGCAACCAGTAATGTAGGTTAGGGAAGTAAGATAACAATGTAATTATTGTTAATTATTGTGGAAGTTGGCAATTTCCATTTAACATAACTGACAGCTGGTTCATGAGAAAATCCATATTAATGTAAAGATTTACTAAAACTTAGTTTGAGTAATAAATTTCATGATCTTTAAGTTATAAACATGTACATGTATGTATATCTCTTGGTAAGTTTTGTATAGCATACCTTTTATTGAGCCAAAGTTTTAAGCCTCTGAAATTACTCTTTTTCTTAAAACCTTCACATTCAAGGTATTGAGAATTTCTTAGAATTTATGTGGACCTCAGGGTATTAAAATTGCCTCAAATTCAATTCCCAGAAATTCCCAAGAGTTCCACACTTCTTAAATTATAGGTAGTTTGTAAAGCTAGATAATCACTACACGCTATTTGCTTCCATAAGGAGCTAGACCAAAGTGTTAGTCTCTATTTCTTTAACATTTACATTGTTTACCTTTTGTATGTATTATTTGTGTACTTCTCATATTTGGTTTTACAAGCCATTCATTTTTAGTTAGGTTAATGTTACATTTGGTGACGCATTTTTCTTAGTTTAGTTTTTGTTGTATTTTCTTTTAATTTGAATCACACATACACAACCTTAACTGCTACTCTCATCAAGCAAAATTACATCTTAGCAATAAAGATCACTTGACATTGTGTGCATTCAAATTGTCTGCTCAGCCAGTTAGGTAACCTTTTGAGGTTACACATTGGTTTTTATGACACTTGCTAAGCATTTACAACAATCTCCTAATTTACTGGGCAAGTGTTAAAAAATGACTGATGGCCAGGTTTACCTGTATAGGTAATCGGTGGAATGATGTAGGTTGCCAGGTATTATAACAATAGTTTCAAATTGATTGTTAAGCTTATGAAGGTGACCCATGGAGATGCAATCAGAGCTTCAATTTTCTCTAAATGTGCTACATATCACAGCTGTTAATTACATACATTTAACATATCACTCCAACTGTAAGTGCCTGTTGTTTTCAAATTTGAACCTCGATAATCTGGACCTTGATAATTTGGACTTCGATCATCTGGATTTTTTGACTGTGGGGACTCCCTTCTCTGGTGCCATTTTTTCATGAATATCACTTAGTTGCATTATAGATTCATAACAAATTTTTCCCAGCAGACAAAGAAGATGTACTCAATCAGTGTTGATGCCATTCCATTAATGCAGCTTCAAAGTATGATATAATTTACAACATGCTTACCTTGTCAGTTGTGGCATGAAACAAACTGATTTACATCAGCATTTTAGCCCATGAAACATTGTCATTGTAGAACATTTTTGTATATACTTAGGCAAATTTTGGCAATGATGCAAAATGATATGAGAATGTACTTTGATTCTTGTTAAATGTTGACTAAACAATATGTATTCAGTTTTTTTAATGGCTCATTTAAAGTAATATTTTCATTTATCCAGACTCTTGAATTTTCCGGGCTATTTATCCTAGTTCTCACAAGGCTGGATATTAGAGGTTCAACTTTATATTAGGTGTCTTCTATTCATTATACCTTATTATATAAGTTTTTTTTTAATTTTATGTGTTTTTGGCTTAATTTGGATTCCTTGTACCAAGATTTATTATATTTGATCAGATTGAGATGTAACTTTTCTGAGAAAATGATGGCCTGGTTTATTTTTGTTCATACTGCATAACACATACATGAATGGTTCCTATCAATTTGACCCACGAAAAGTGCTCATTCTGCATGAGTTTTTCAGCTCCAGTATAGATGGACTTGCTTTGGTGTGTGTGCTTTTTCTTTCTTATCTTTGCTGGAGGATCTAGAAGGATCCTATGCACAGTACAACTCTGACCTAGGATGATACTGTAGGGAACTTGCCTTCCTTTGCTGTGGCTTGGGTTTAATTACCAATCCCTATGTCACATGTACATTGAGTCTGCAGTGGTTGCTTTTTGTCCTTTCTCAAAGGTTTTTCTCCCTGTAATCAATCATTTCTCTCCAGCATTGCATCAAATATTTCAATTCAACTGAGAATGTTCAGAGTGAAGGACCACTATGTGAATTTGTGCAGCTCCTAATTTTGTTTTTTTTAAGTAGGGGCTTTTATTTAGTGACACAGGGTCTGCAATACATTCAGAAGTGAAGAAGTTCAATTCATCACCATAACGCGAGCTTGAGTCATGAGCCAAGCTAGGGAAGTTCAAAATCTTTTCTTTAAAAGTGAATCATGCCTGTAAGGTAATTTATTTTATGATCAAACCTAATATTTATGAAACTTCATGTATTAAAGCTAATTAGGACAGGGAATTTGAGTATAAGTAAAGTGGACAATGGACCATAAACCCCTTCAGAATCTTATGGGTTGGTGCCTGGAAGCACAACGTAAAATTAATTAATAAATAATTACTTATAAATAACAAATTGATAAATTAATCCATCTTTTGACTACTAAACGATTCGGTCGATCATTTAATCATTAAAGTGAATCAATCATTAAGCCAAGGATTTTCTTTTTTCCTTTCAGAGCTCGGTTTATTTGCCTTAAGCTGTTGACAGCCTCATCTTTGGAATTCTATCATGAACGTTTCTGACAACCAGAAAAGATGGATAGTCTTCGGGATTGCTCTAAACAAGGTTCTGGTCGCAAAAATACGAGCGTTTGTTGAACAAGAGATTCGGAAGGAGTATGGAAATCTTCAAACCAGCCATAATATCCATACTCAGAGCTATAGAGGGCGACTCCAAAGGCACATAGTTGCTTTAAAGTATGAGAACATAAATGGAAACGACACATTACCCAGGAAACCTGATGGAAAGTATGACTATCCCAGGTTTGACTTCCAGGTGACGTCACATATTGACCTTGCCAAGCTGTATGTGGAGAATTACATGGCCAAGTTCAACGCGTTCAACGAGCACTGTGATGCATCAGCCGTGCTCACGCTACTTGGTAAAGTTCCCGTGTTTCCTGCTGTTGTCCAGACTACAGCTGGTGATGTAAGAAAGGCCAGAAATGCCTGGGCGCACTGTGTGTTTAGTGAGTGGGACCTAGTAGGTTTTAAGCAAAGCTTTGCTGTCATGAATCAGCTGGTGAAATCTCTGGGCCTGCCAAGTGCCCATGAGACTGCAATCTTAAGAGAGCTGAATGAGTGGCAACACAAAGGTAACTTGTATTACTCTTTAAAGTATCCTTTGATTTAAGACATTGCCTTACGGTTGACCAGGTGGAAGTGTGTACTGCTGATTGCAATCTAACAGGAGAGAATACCAAACAAGAATAAAGAAGAATTTACACGGATTGTAGGAATTTCATAGGTTTATTTAATTTAATCAGCGAGAATCTTCGCAGTGTATTTTCTTTAATCGCTCTAATCACTTCCTGCATAACATTGACAAAACAGAAGGCAGCTATTTTGAATTTTAGTGCCTCTGCTATAATCACCTCGTGACAGCTAGGTAATCATACTGTAACTCACCATTAAAATAAGCGAGTAGCACTTACTAGTTTTTGTATAAATGGCGTGATGAATAAACTAGTTTTTGAGAACAGCATGTTCACCGATGACGAAAGCTATGAAATAAGCATTCGTGCGTGGGTTTGCATTCAGAACGCGACAACTTGTTGCAAACGGCGCCTTAGCTGATTCTACAGATTTACAGTACACTGAGAATAGATTTATTTTGAACAAATTCCCAAGCGACGGATGTTTCTACAAACGAAGGGAGAAATAGCTACTTTGATAAAAGAATTCCGTTGGAAAATGATAAATCATTTATATATTCCGATTACGAAGTCGCATTGGTAATAGAACTTTGCGAAGGTCGGTTCGAACGGCGACTGCAACGAACAAGTTTGCTTGTCGTTGGTAGCCGTGTAGTATTTTAGTGCTCTTGAATTGTAGCCTATTCTTTAAACAATAAACCGCCAACAGTAGTAAAACAAAAGGACTACCTCATACATACTAATGAGGTTGATGTCTCAAAGTCGTGCGCGCACGACTTTTTGACGCGCACGATTTTTTTATTCGCAATTGCATGCGAGTTTTGGCGCGTTTAATTCGCGTTTTTCGGTTAACGTATACGTGAGCGGTACTGTACCTTTAAAAGTATCCTTTGATTTAACACATTGCCTTACGATTGACTAGGTGGAAATGTTTACTGCTGATTGCTTCCCGACTCCCTTGAGAAGCAATGCAGACACATTCAGAGAGCTCTTTGAGAAGGCATACTACGGGTTAAAGTAGTTATGTTGTGATATTTGAGCTACTTTTTTGGTCAGGTCGCCAAAAATTGTCGCCAATTCGAAGGAAAATTTAAAGGTAATTGGTTTCTTGGGTCGGAAAAAAAATCTTACAGAAACTCAAACACGAAGAGTTAACGATGTGGTGATTTACATGGATTGCAAGTAACTTGCTTGCAAAGCTTAAGTTGTATCTCACGAGAAGCATCAGCTGTGACCTATCTCATTTCCGTATGGTTTTTTTTCACACAGGTGCCATACTGTGCATGAACGCTACTGTCGACCCTGATCTGGTAAAGGCTGTTCAACAAGATTTCGTTGCTCTCAAGAACGATTTTGATAAACTTGCATTTGAAAAAGAGGAAGAAAGACAGCAATTGCAGACTGCACTTCTGTGTATTATTACAGCTGTAGAGAAACTGGACAGAAGAGTTTCCAAAATAGAGGAAGATCAACAACTCATGGAGGACGATCAACGCTCCCTGACTGCGCAAGTCTTTCAGCTTGGAGAAACTCTGGACACAAGACTTTCGTTGGTGGAGCAAGAACAAATAATCATCAAAGAGAACCAGAATATACTTTGTGAAAGATTTGACACCACACAAGACCAGATAAGTAAACTGCAGTCAGATCAAGAAGACATGGAACGACACATCACTTATTTGGGAGATCAGAACTCAAGAAAAACCCAAATTAGCAATGGTAATGCGAGCTTTTCATTTTATCTTAGTTTATCTGAGAACACCCACTCGCTAAATGTTTCAAAATTCATAACTAGAGCAAATTTACCTTCGTAACTGATCTTTAAGTTGAGATCTCCTTAAGTGCATTCATACTTTTTCTGCTTCGCATTAGAACCACAAGGTGTGCTAATGAGTTACGTTTTCTATGCTTAAGACTCTTCCAAAGATTCCATTATGGAACTTTGCAACTTAAAAGCATCTCGATGTGGAAAAGATTGTCAAAATTAACAATATGTACATAGACAGTCGTTCAATGTAATTTGGGTGAACTTAAGCCTGAACATGTCTTCCGTTTTGATGTTTCAGAGATTGCCAGTTGTGAAGCAGACATTAAATTTTTTGCTGAGCGTCATCATCCAGATACTAGAAAATGGTTTTTGAACGATTTTCACAGATGGTTTGAGAATCCTGGAGGGTCCAGAGCGTATGTACTTCTTGGCGATGCGGGAGTCGGCAAGAGTGTGATGGCCGGTGTTCTGGCACAGAAATCAAGAACGACTGGAAACTTAGCGTCTGCCTATTTCTGCCGCCATAATGATGGCACAAGAAACAATCCCAGGTATCTTCTAGGGACCATTGCCTGTCAACTTTGCAAATGTAATGCTCGGTACAGTAACTTTGTGGGGGGGGAGGGTGGCATTAGAAGTTGTTTGGGCAATTCTGAAATGGGTATTCAGGAATTGTTTACAAAATTGTTACAAGAGCCATTAGCCAAATGCAGTGCCTCTTGCAAGAGAATGTTGATCGTTATTGACGCTCTTGATGAGACGAAATATGAGTCCAGGGATGATTTTCTCGATCTCATAATGCACCGTTTTCCCTTGCTTCCACAATGGCTTGTTTTCTTTATTACCAGTCGTCCTGAGGACACTGTGCAAGTAAGATTAAAGGAGTACAATCCCTGCATTAAAATCTGTGCGGGGAACAGCGAAAACCTTAAGTTTTATCAACAGCACGAACTGGACATCAGACTATACTTAGAGAAAAGCGTCGACTTCTCTTGTCTACCCTTTTCGGCGGAAGACGTAGCGACGAAGTGCAACGGATTATTTTTGTTCGCTTACTACATTGAGAGAGTTCTCAAGGATCAACTCTATTCAGGTAAGATAAGTCAGCTCACTGATCTTTTCCCAGGAGATATTGGGGAGTTTTTTCGGCATAATTTCACGAGAATTTTTCGCAAAGTAGGCGCAGATTTGTACAAGAAGTTGTTTGGTTGTGCTATAGCCGCTCCCTCGCCCCTTCCTGTCTCGTTTATCTCGTACATTTTACAAAAAGAAAATTCTGATCTCGATGAGCAAGAAGTAATTGATGCCTTTTCGACATTTTTGGTTGTAAGGACTTCCGATCAGACTTTCGCCTTTTTACACAGTTTGATCCCTTCGTGGTTGACTGACAAGAAGAAAGCCTTAGCGAGGCTATCTGTTGATAGGAATAAGGGAGGTAGGTACTTCAGGGATATCATCTCTGAAGTTCTCTCAGACGCTATTGCGAATCAACAGGGGGAATGTCCTTCTTCCATGGAAAGAGATGTACTTGAGTACTGTGATCAAATCGGCGTCCGTCTTTTGTGTGATTATGGCGACAGTGATTCTCTGAAGGTCGTTTTCAGGTACTTGGCAAATTACCAAGTTATTGCGAGGAGATTAAAAACGAAGGGCATCGAGATATATTCTATCATTGGCGATGTGAAGCTTGCAATTTGCTGTGACGAAATTAGTGACAGAGAGAAGGAAATTCTTCGAGAGATATGCATATTCCTTGAAAATAACGTAGACGTTCTCCTACGAAGTCCGCAACTTCTACATTGCTGCTTACAAGAATCTTCTAAAACTGTCAAAGAAAACCTTGTTTTTCCAGACAGTAGAGGGGCTACTAAGGTAGATCACCGTTTGCTTTCTTTTTGTGGACTTGAAATCCTGTCAGAATTTGACTGCTTTTCTTTGTCACCTAATAAGAAGTTGATGGCTAGAGCAAGAAAGGGTTTCCTTTCCTTATTTGATACGTCTACGTTCGAGGAAGTTCAAGGCCCTACTACTGTAACAGGAATAGTAGATGATATTCATCATTTAAAGTTTTCGCCAGACGGTAAGTTTATATTTTTTGGAAGGCTTGACAAATGGTTCTCCTTGGAGGAAGGTTGTGTTAAGGAGTTTTCCCAGTTTAATGCTCAAAAGCAAATTTGCTATAAATGGAGTTATTTCCTTAACGGTTCCAGGTATATTGCTGTGCAAGCAGGTCACCCTCCAACCGGAGCTCATTCTAGAACCTGCCTGATGAACATATTTTGTTTGTGGGCCATCTATGAGCTCAAACGTAAGCATTGGTTACGTAAACGTTCAGTTCTTTTTTCTGGCTGGCGTGAGACATGCAATTTCCAATTTTTATATAGGTTTGAACTTTTACGTAATTTTCTTCAGTTTTTGGAACCCAAATTGCACAATTTGATAGAATTCGTAATTGAAACAGTCATGAAATCTAAAGAATGTCATAAATCTCGCCTCTGCCAAAACTGCCTTAAATTCGAGGAACAGAATGAGAAAGAAAACCTTAAAATTGTTCGTCAGCGTGTCCTCGACCTTTACCAGGAGATGTTCGAGGTCCAGGTTTGGGATGTAACAAGAGGAATATCTTTTCTGGAGAAAGCGTTTCTCGAGAACAGGGTACAGCTGACCCCAATGTTCTTCTTGTACCACTTGAGCGCTGCCGTAGAGAAGGAAGGCATATTTTTATGCAAAGAAAACGAGAAATTGTCTTGTCATTCCATTGCTCAAGCCACATTAGTGGGGTCGCAAGTTCCCACTACTGAACTAGAGTGGCTTGCATATGAGGTTGATAAAGAAACTCCGTCTAGCTTATATTCGAAAAGGAAACTTGAAGTACTTGACAGATATTTTTTATTAGACCACTATCTCCTAGACAACGGAGCAGTGGAGCTCGAGAATCATATCGTCGAGAAATGGAAATCGTTAGATCGGAAGAGAGAGTTTGCTTCTAAAAACGTCGAACACTGCGTCTTTTTGGAAGACAGTAACGCTCTTCTCTATTACACCCGTGCACAATCGCTACAGATCGAGTATCTTGAAAGTGACATTGTGCTGACGAGCGTCACCGGACACAGCCCATTCTTCCACCCATCTACAAAACAAATTGTATATTGGTTTGTTGAGCAACATGGTGAAACAATCAATTTCCTGAGAGATGCTCCAAAGGATCTGATACAGTTCCTTTTGCTTCTAACTACCGAGGGAGTTTTTAATGGTACATTCATTTCAGCTGCCACTGTTTTTTCCCTCTCACCTAAGTTTTGTGAAACAGTTGGTAAAGAGGACGTTGTTCCTTTTGTCCCTGTAAAGAGTGTTGTATTTTCTCAAAGTGGCGGTCTAATTGCCTGTCATCTGGGACCTAAACTTTACATCTGTAATATTTTTGATGATGCGTTCCCTCATTTATTGTGTGAAGACCAGTGTGAATGCGATAGTTGTCATTTAACATTTTCACCTGACAGCACTTTACTTCTTCATTGTATCCAAAACAGCAATGATATTCCACGCTTCCAGGTGTGGAATGTTCATAGCAGGGCTCTTATGGTGACATTCGACTTTCCAGCTGTCGAATCACTGATTTCACCTTTAGATTGCTTTTGTCTGTCATCAGACAACACGAAATTAATCGTATGTGGGGGATTAATTATTGAAATCTGGGAATATGGTGCATCAGCTTGTCGCCTAATAGTTAGGATAGGAAACCACGTGTTTATCTCAAACTATGGCGAGTTCACCTACTGTACAGTTTCGTCAGAAACTAATTTGTTAGCCTGTTGCATTACAGACAGAATTGCCCTTTGCCCGATGAATACACCTACAGATCAGTCTGTTCTGTTACTACCTCCTGCCCACTTAGGGAAAATCGAATTATGTCAGTTTGTGAAAGGAGGTCGTTACCTGATTTCTTATGGTGTTGATGGCAACGTGTTCCTGTGGGACTTGAACAGGTGTGAAGCTATTGCATTTGCGAAATTGTGTCAAGGAAGGGAAAGTATCGAAAGGCTGTGTGGATCTTGTGAGGGAGACAAATTCTTCTTCTTGACTTCTTCGGGTCGATTCGGTGTATTAACCCTTTGCGGACTGGAGCACTCGATATTGCTAAAATTGCCAACGCTAAAAGTGCAAAGCGAGGAAATGATGTTAGAGGAAAGTTGTGGGCAACAAAGGGAACTACGTGGACCAAAAGTTCTAACTCATGCCACTGACGACCTGAATGTTGTTGAATTACTAGAAGAAATGAACTTAATGTTTGAAGGTAACAGTGAAAGCAGTGATGATTGTGATGACATGGAAATGCTTGGTTGATCGAGTTAGCATAACTGAGTTTGTACAAGATCTGTTTATTCGATTCTTCTATTTCAAGTATAACAGCTTTCACAGTCCCATATAAGGGCAAGATCCTTTTAATTCCTTTTATGAACAGGGTCAAGACTGTTAGACATCAGATCCCATGTACGAGACAAACAAACACAAACAGAAAAAAGGAAAACGATTAAGACATAGAGTATGACAAACAGAGGAAAAAAATATTTTCAGAACAATTTATTTGTCCCAAAAAAGACACAGTGAACACTTTACTTTCTGCGATCACAAATTAATGAAACATAGAGTATTTTGGCTTGTGCATGTTATAGAAATAATGAGAAGATGCGCGTAAGGTGGCTGCAATTAAAGAAATCACCGTAAAGGAGCCCCAAAAATTTCAGGCCTTGACGCTGCTCGAAACCGTGCCTCATAGATATATGTTGGGCGCTATCACTGACTGAGCAAGGAAGCCACAATTTGGTAGTGAGGCAAATATAGTAGGCTCTGCGTTCCCACAGAAAGAATGTGATCACGATGAAATGAAATACAAATTATTTTTTTTATCATCCGCAGTGATCACATTCCTGTTCAGAAACGAAAGACCTACTCAAATTTGCGTCGTAAATTGAGAAGCACGTGTTCGAATCTCGTCGAGGCCCAATTTTTTTGAGGCTTCTTTTCTGCAATTGCATAATTGCAACTCACTTGCGAGGATTATTCTTTTTACTTTCTGTTTTGGACTGAGTATCTTAACATTTCTGCCGCCGCCTTTTTCCCCAATCGACATAAAATTTTGTTAGAAGTGAAGCCTATGCATGGAAACAGGTTGTGTTCTTTCGAGCAGTGCATGCGCATTTTTCGTCTTCTTTCGCATTGGCCCAAAGGTGAACGCAAAGACATAAAACTGTCATTTTTAATGTTTTAGTTGATTCTTCTCATCATCCCTGGACTTTTGTACCGCTGTCTCATCAAATGCTTTTGACTACGAACTCAAAATTAAAACGAGTCTCTATGGTTTTGAGACGATTATTCAATGTTAGTTGTGGGTATTTCGTCGAAACGCACATATCATAGTGTTTCGATATTGTACTTAGAAATAAGACTAAGGTTACTATTCATTTACGGTTATGAGGCTTGAAGGTTTAAGTGATCATCAATATGTTGGTTTGCCCAAACGTTCGCAAAATGTCATAAACAAATAGACCGTTTGAACTTCGCCTTTGAAATATTTCAAGACAAAAAATGTTCCGTCTAGATTTTATCTTCCAGGTAGATGGGTATTTGTTAAGCAGTAAAGATCCTAAGTTATAGGTTAATGATTATAGGTCAATGAATAATATGAAAGTTTTGTTGTATATATTATTGTAATTAGTTTTATTATCTTTTTGTGTTGTGGAAGATCGTTGATTAGCCCTACGGCCAAACGTTTCATCCACAGTAACTGAAGTTACCTCTATCTATCTAAAAAACAAATTTGAAAAAGCGTCTCGAGCAGTTTTGTGTAGAGAGCAATTCTTACAGAGAACGTCTACGTAAGTTTATCAAGGGCGGCGGAACAAGGGGAGGGGGCTTTTAAACTGTAATTAACTGTCATGGGGAAAAATCCTTCACGACTCCCGAGAAGGTCCTTTCACGGCTCTTGCCTTCCCCTCCCCTCTCCTGCAGTGAGTTCTCTTTCCGCCCTTCTGTTAGTTTGATGTAGTTCTCATTGTAGTTTTCAAGGATTGAAATTTTTTTTGAGAACATTCTCTCCTATTTTTTTTACCTTGTATAGAATATTTAACAGATATTGAAAAAGTGTCGTGCTACTGCTGAAAGTCTTTCGAAGGAAACTCTCGTAAGCGGCCACTGTCCTTTCGACCTATCTCCACTTTACGTAAATGGCTATCTAAAGATACGAACAACTTTTCCTTCCCAAGGTTGTCTCCTTACGAGAGTTTCAACTTAAGTAGTTTTATCAGCTTTCCATTTATTATGTATCGATGAAAAATCATCCTTGAATTGATACGTTATGTTATTGCGTTAAAAGGAAAAAGGATTTACTGCAGTTTTCCTACGTAAGGGAATAATTTAAGAGCACCTAATGAGAGCAGTTAAACAGTTGAATGTAAATAACTTATATTTACTCTAACCCGTAAATATTAACAGAACTGAGAATTTTATAGTTTTTAAGTTTTTGTTGTTATATTTCTTTAGTGCCGATGGTAAGAATAAAATTATTTTAGGAAGTTGCTATTTGTCTGGTTGCCAACTTTTTGTGTTATATCCCAAATTGATTGGCCGAGCGACTTTTGGAGAAAGAGATCAAAGGGCATGTTGGGCTAATTCCTTGTTGGCGTCACAATTACTAAAACCATAGAACCACTCACTCGAGTTTGATTGGTCAATTTATGTAGAACACACCACACTATAGTGTTGCTACACACTTGATAAAGCAAAATCATTTCATTCAATTTGATAATACTTTGTTCATCTGTACGTAGTGAGACTGTTGACCTCATTCCTCTCTGTAGATTAACTGCTATAGACGCATCTTCGACACTCTTGTTATTTTAGAACACTAGTTAATAGATGAGAAATAGGGACGGACCTCCAGAAACAGTCTAGGAAAGGGAAAAGATTTGCAAGCGGCATGGACATGTTTTTATGTATGACCAGGTATTTGAAAGCTATTTCTCGTGGCAGATTTCATTCGATAACAAAACATTAGATTAGGAGCCAACTCACTGGCTTGGCTACTCGACGTGGAATAGTTTCGCCCCCTTAATTTTTCCTTAAATGACTCTTTTTGGGTACTTCCTGCAGTTCCTAGTCTCCTTCGCAGCCATTCGTCAGGATGTCACACAATACTTTCCCCAAAAGATGCTTTTCAAGGAGCATTACGTGACAATCTAGAAGAAGCTACTCAGCTCGTCTTTTCAATGTATGAAATATCCACTTGTCCAGCCTTCGAAACTCAAACGCACCCCGACTGTCGCATAATCGTAAAAAGAAATTTAAAGAGACATGGTTTGATGCTACTCTGGTTTACAGATTTAATGAATGTAACCGAAGAAGTTACAATTCATAGACCCAACGTTTCGACACTCCTGTCCAGTGCCTTCATCAGGGGTGATCTAAACGCTGCAACAAGAGGTCCTTTTATATGATCGCTAATTAGCTGCCTTTTTTCCTGACGAGGTGTAAATAGGCGTCAGGAAGCAAGCCGCCATCGTCACGATTTAAAGGAGCGTGGGCGGAGTTAATATGCCAAGCCTCCAAACAAAGGCGGTGGTGGTAACGCCGATTAGTGGTGATAATTTTAGAATTATCCCACCCAATTGTATGGTTAGTTAGGCATGTGTGCTCTGAGAAAGCTGGATTTTCCATTTTGCAAAAGAAAACCGGTTTTTGATGCTCTTTCAAACGTGTACCTCTGATCCTACCAATAAAACTCAAAGAAAGTTAAACAAAATGTTGCTTGATTTAAGAAAAGCTGGTAAGATGAGTGACTCTGCGTACAAAATGTTATACAGTAGTGACAGCTTATGTATACGTTTTTATGGCTTACCTAAAATTCATAAACTGGGAATTCCTTTGAGACCCATTGTCTCTTTTGTTAATTCTCCGACTTATGCAATTTCTGGTTATCTTGCGAGAATTTTGTCGCCTGTTGTTGGGAATACTGATTACACTGTCAAAAATTCCTGCGAATTTGCGGATTTCATAAGAGATAAAACTCTTAACTCTCGTGAAGAATTAGTATCTTTCGACGTTGTTTCGCTCTTCACTAAAATCCCAGTTGATCTTGCCGTTAAGGTTGCGGATGAGAGACTCAGAGAAGATGCTTCCCTAGGACAAAGAACTTCTTTGCCTGTGGAGGATATTGTTCATCTGCTGTCTTTTTGCCTCAAAACCACGCAATTTGCATATAACGGTACCTACTATCAACAAGTTTTTGGTACAGCTATGGGTTCGCCCGTCTCTGCTGTCATTGCCAACATGGTAATGGAAGACGTGGAACAAAGGGACTTAGCCACTTCTCCGGTTAAACCCTTTTTCTGGAAACGATATGTCGAAGATGGTATTTGGTAAAATTTCCGCACAGCCCCATACTACATTATGGATTCAGTTCTTGGATAGAGAAAACAATGACAAAAACAATACATCGCTATTGGGAAAACAGATTTGTTTTACAATGGTATGGGGCTGTGCGGAAATTTTACCTGTTATTTCTGCGGTAACCGTCGTCGATCCAATTCACCCTTGAACGTGAAAAGGATAGCCCTTTCTTGATTTAACTGTGTCCAGAGGGGTTTAGGGTAATTTGGAGACAAGTGTCTACTGTAACCCTAGCCACACCGACAAATACCTCGCTTTCGATTCTCACCACTCTATTTGCCATAAAAAGTCTGCAGCCAAAACTTTACTCAAGAAGGCTGACTGCCTACCATCTTCACTCGATTGGAAGGCTGAGGATAGGAAATATGTTTGTAATGTCCTAATATATTTTAAATTTAAAGAGACTCACCTGAGACTTCTGTCCACCCGAAGAAGACCACATTTAACTTCAGCCCCCCTGAAAGGATTGATGATGAAGATCACATGACTAAGGTCACACCAACGCGCTATCAGGCGAACCGTTAGGAAATTTCTGAGAACAACAAGCGGGAAAGAATTAATTGAAAAGATTGGAATAAGGTAAAGGTATGCGGCAGAAAATTACTTTTCTTACTCCCTTTAACCCCTGATATCCCGCGCATTCTATCCATGAAAGATCTTCAGGTGAGGAGAGAACTGGGGCCAGAACTCTCGGTCTCGCATTTCTTCTGAGATTCTCCTGTTCTAGCTCTCAAAGAGTAAGGAATGGATTTCTGCCAATCAGTAATTTGTAAGCTTAATATCTCTTAATTGCCTTGTCACAATTCGAAGACTAGTGCAGCGTTTTAACAATTTGTTGCTACGCAGCGAGACAAACAGGAAGTAGGTAATGTTACAGTTTCAGGGCTTAATTGATGTGTTCCACGTTGTTTTATTTTCTTTTGAATAAGATCAATTAAGATAGGCCTCAGATATGGAATAGCTTTGAAGAAGGTGAGGAAACGAAACGATATTTTCTATGGAAGCGTCTTGGTATGAGCAGGCAATAGTAGTGCATGTGTTACAGTCAAATACTTCCCGCCTTCAAATAAAGATTGCGAGCCTGTTTTTGACGTTTGCTATCACAGAACTCTTGTGAATTTTTCAAGGCAGCTAAATCACGGCTGTAAAATTTTTTGGTAACCACGATTAAAGGATCAAACGCAAAATATTCCGTTCTGAGCCTCTTTTTCTCCACAAAATTCATCATACGATGCTATAGTAAATGTTTAATTTATCGAGACACTTCAATAAAAATTATCAAATCCCGAGAAATAGATATCGAGGTAGATCTCTCTCGATGAAGTATATGACCGTTGAAATAAATGGCTGTCATCCGTTACTTCAACTCGCTTTAAAAACCGGTCCCCGAAATATTGGTTTTTTTAAAAATTTATTGCGAGATCAAAAAGGTTGAGAACAAAAAGAGAAACATCGATCTGGCTAAAACCTTTCTAACTAGTGTACCTGAGAGCTCCCTTAGTCTCTTTAGTAGGTTTTGGATTTAACTGCTGACGGCCGGTTTTCTCTCCTGTGGTGAGCACGTCAAATGCCTTTTTACCTACTCCAAAAATTTAACTTGGAGTCCTCGCTTTTGCTATTAGATGCTTCGAGTTCTGTCGCTTTTGCGTCTGTGAACACCTCCGTGAGGGAGTTCACGCTTCAGTATTTAAGGTGAGAATGCCTTGATGATAACACTTCACTTTTCTCACTCAGCACAAGGCATAAAGGAATAAGTGTTTGGGTACTCAGACAGCAGATGAACAGCATTGCAAAGTCTTTGACAGAGAATATCGCCGCATTAGTTCTTTTCTATACGCCATCGGCAAAGGACATCAGATCATCATTATAAATTATGCGGTGATTCTTTTTCTCTGGTGTGATTCTAAAATGGATGGTAAAGAAACCAGTCCGCTAAAAACACAACCTGAAGGACAAGTTCCACTTGCAGAGGAGTTACCTTCAACTGAGAAGAAAACAAAACCAGAGATAGATCCAAGAAGAGTTGCAGTCGAGAAAAGACTTGCGGATCAAAAAAAAAGTGAGAGAGGCGAAACGAAAAGGATTGAACCAGAGCAGCCAATCTCTAAATCCAATTCAGTCTCACCAGAGTCCACTTTGATCTGAATGGTTCAAATCATTTCACTTGTAAGTCTCCTTGTTTCTCTGTTTAGTATCTAATACAAAAGGAGGGAGATCATGGCTCCTCTGAGTAAGTAAAAAGATGAACCCTCTTAGAAAAGCCGAATAATCTTCCAAAGAACGAGCCCCTTCTAAAATTCCAGTGATAGAGATAAAATTTGCACAGCGGATTGACCCTTTTTTCCATGAAATGTCCTCTCGATTTTTAAAACGGTCTTGGATGCTACGACGATAACTGGAATCGCAGCTGGATTTGGATAGGTTGCCAAGAGGGTGATCAAAGAGCTTACGACTTCAGATCCTAGTTCCAATCAGATTAATTATGTGAAGTTCACAGTGGTCTTCGCAGCCTCTTTGGCTACGAAGGAGTATCTAGGAAATCCAAAGATCCTTCCAGAATTCAGAAAAAATTTTCTTTTTGCATTTTCTATTTTGCTGGATTATGCTTTGGCGTAGAAGCGTTTGTACTCCTCTTGAGAATTTGCGTCGATTATGAGATTGGAAGTAGATTGAACCTGCCAAAGATAAGGCTGGAAGACAGACTGAAGAAGAAACTGGACAAAATATTATAAACTTAGAGGTGTACACCATCTAGGTGTACGCCATGCGTCTGAAAGATAATAATAATAATAATAATAATAATTTTATTTATATAGCGCTAAAATCCAATAATTGTCCAAAGCGCTACCTAATTACAAAATAAAATATAAAAAATATAAAATATAAAATATCTACAATATACAATATAATTCAAATATAGCCTAAGTTATCTACTATATAAATCAAAAACATCTCAAAACAAAAGGAATCTCATAACCTATATGCTAACTTAAATAAAAAAGTTTTAAGGGATTACTTCAAAGTTGCCACTGAAGCACATTTCCTAATCTCTAGAGGTAAATCGTTCCACAATTTAGGTCCTGCAATAGAGAAAGCTCTGTCTCCATATGTTTTCAATCTGCTTCTTGGAACCACTAAATATTCTTTACATGAAGAACGCAATGACCTAGAGTATGTTTTAAAATTCAAAAGGTCAGAAATATAAGAAGGTGCAAGGCCATGAAGGGCCTTGTATACCAATAAAAGGACTTTAAAAGTTATTCTAAACTCAACTGGTAACCAATGAAGATTAATTAAAATAGGAGTTATATGAACATGCCTCGGTGTCAATGTGACAACACGATCTGCAGCATTCTGAACTGCCTGTAGTCTAGCTAACAGATACTTAGGAAGGCCATGTAATAAGGAATTACAGTGATCGAGTTTCGAACTAATAAATGCATGGACTAAGATTTTACATGTATCTTGGCTTAAGTACTTGCGGATTTTAGCAATATTTCTCAAATGATAGAATGATGATTTACAAATGTTCTTAATGTGCTCCTCAAAACTAAATATGCTATCAAACTGAACCCCTAAATTACGAACAGAGTCACGAGGTGCAATGCACTCAGAACCAACAGTAATGTGACCGATGTCAGGCATGGGATGGAATCTGGAACCGATGACTACAAGGTCCGTTTTGTCCTGGTTTAGTTTAAGATAGTTTCTTATCATCCATTCATCAATGTCCCTCACACAGCATTCCACTCTCAACTTCACTTGTTGGATGTCATTCAAGCTGGTAGATTTAAAGGTAATATATAATTGGGTGTCGTCAGCATATAGATGGTATGATAGTCCATGATCATTTATTATGTCCGCAATAGGTGATGTGTATAACAAATACAACAAAGGGCCCAGAACTGATCCCTGAGGGACACCACACTTCAATGCACGTTGTGAAGAATGACTATTCCCAACTTTAACAAACAGCTTACGTGAAGACAGGTATGATTTCAGCCACTTAAGCACAGTTCCTTGAAAACCAAAACAAGTAGACAGCCTTGTCACTAGAAGAGTATGGTCCACCGTATCAAACGCCGCCGACAGATCCAAAAGTACCAGTATGACCGACTCATTACGATCTAAAGCACAAAGAATGTCATTTTGAACCCTCAGTAGAGCCGTTTCAGTGGAGTGAAATGACTTGTATGCGGATTGAAACGTTTCCGAAAGACCATTAGATGTAATATAGTCTGTAAGCTGGACACATACAGCTTTTTCCACAAGCTTGGACACAAACTTCAAATTAGAAATAGGTCGAAAACTTTCATATTTAGTGAAATCAGCATTATGTTTCTTTAAAGTCGGTGTCATAGCTGCAATCTTCAAGACATCAGGCATAACTCCAGTAGATAAAGATGTATTCACTATGTTAGTCAACACAGGAGTTAGTAAATTGAAACATTCCTTCATTACCACTGCAGGCAGAGGATCAAGTACACAGGATTTATTAATAGATCTCAATGCAAGTCCCTTGATGTCTTCGTAACTGACATTAATAAAGTCTGAAAACACAGAGTTACATTCCACGTAGTTACCAAGAGTCACTTCATTAGCATCATTACCTTGCGCAGAATTCTTCTCTATTAGTGTGGCATGGATACGATCAATCTTGTCGATGAAATAATCAGCGAAAGAATTAGCTAGTGCATCACTACAAGAAGATGGATACCGTGCAGTTGATTGCTTTTGTAGTAGTTTTGATACTGTATTAAACAAAACCCGTTGATCACTTGAGTTTTCAGTAATGATGGTAGTGTAGTAAGAGGATTTCAACGACTTGATCAAATTATTCACAACACAGCACTGACGATTATATTCTTGTCGATCAGCCTGCAGCCTGGTTCTTCGCCATTTTCTTTCAAGGCGTTGTCGCTTACGCTTCTCTACAGATACCTCATTAGTGTACCACGGAGCAGCAGGCCTAATAGTAACAACTCGGCGCTTGACAGGAGCATGCTTGTCCATTATTGATCTTAATAAGGTGTCATACTGTTGAACTAGATGATCGAGATCGCTGGATGGATCGATGACAAGAGGGCAGTCAGCAACATCACTAAGAAACGACTCCATGTCAAGAGACCGAAGCTTCCGATAGAAGATAACTTCCTTCCTAAACTGGGGCTTTCTTATGGAGACATCACACATTACCGCCAAATGATCAGAGATGTTAGGATCATAGACTTTGATATTATTGAGCATGTTATCATCAGACTTATTTATAAGTAAGTCAAGAGTATGGCCATTGTGATGAGTCCCAGCACAGACACGTTGTTTAAGGTCAAAAGATTCCAAGATGTCAGTAAAACGTTTGGCATTTACATCATCTTGACAATCC